GAAGCAAAATTAATGAAACACACACGTCACAGAAACATGATATTATGTGCTTGATTTTTAATATTTTCAGAAGTGACATTTAAACTAAATTGCATCTTAATCAAGGCCAGAGAAATAGCCGCATTACGATCGAAAATATCTCTGAGAAATGTATTCAGGTAAAAGAAACCAGAGTTGGAGAGTTTATAAGTTTAAGGGAATTTCTATGCTGTTTCATCGCTATTCACAAGGTATCTCCATTCATAGGTCGAGCAATGTCATCCAAAACGACGAACAACACCATAAAGCCTTGACGAATCTTGAGCCACAAAAGTTCTTTTGATAACACTTTGATCTGAGTTGTTTATTGTCACGTTAAAGGTCGGCTCTATTGTCATGGTAAGGATCCATGGCGAAAATAAGAGGACAAAAAGGTAACTGCGCAGAACTTAGATTGACACATTAAGCATTCTATTCTACCTCTACCTATTAAGCAATGAGAATTAGCGCAAAAGAACCTGCTTTATTTCCCAGGTAAAGTTGATGAGATGACTGGACTAAATCCAAATAGGCATGTTTACAGTGCATCTTTGCCTTTTTTATTTTTATTTTTTGAGTGATGCAAGCTGTGAAATCGGAAATACTTATGTGTGACGCAGACGTGGTTTAATAAGTATTAGATTTACGACATGATATTCATGTAATGAACAACTAAGCAATGAAAGGAGGAGAGCAAGCGAGAGCCCCACGCTAAAACTCACGTATGGAGGCACTGCTGGAACGAGGGTGGATGTCAATATATTTGATAATTTCCTTAGCTATTGTACTCCGCTAGGATAACGTCTACGCGTGTATCCAGATTTATTTTTGTGCGTGTTTTGGCCTTTTTTCCTCAATATCTTCTATTTGCAAGTGACTAAATTCCCTGCAACTAGAACAAGGCAAAATTCCTGTTTGAAAATAGACCAGCATTTGAGGCGGACTTCTTTCGAGGACTGTGAGGAAAATTCCCACTGCGGACAGGAAGCTAGCCAACGCCTCAGGGCCCAGTTGTTCGAAGGCCGATGAGCGTTAACCCAGGGTTAAATTTTATTCTAGACTTCTATATTTCTCTGTTCAAAAGTCGTTTTAGGATAATTTTCCCCATTTTTTTTTTAAAGTGTTCAATCATCAAATTGAAGAAAAAAAGAGTTATGCTGAATTTTTTTTTCAAGCTTTCAGATCTTAAATCAAATTAAATCAGATTTTACACTAAACCTTTAAAACGCTTTTCGGTGGCCAATTTACGTTATCAACTCAGTCGATAAAACTAAATTACCATGTTATACTCTCTCAGCGACGCAGCCCACAGTTTCTTTAGAAACTTACCCCCTTTATCTAAAAGTAGACTGTCGCGGATAAAACCGAAAATCGTGTCTTTTAATGTATCCCAATATGTTTTTCTAAAAAACTACCGAGACAAAGAGAAAAGTATATCTGATATAAAAAAAGTTGTATTAATAGGAGACTGTCTTATTACTTCCGTTTGCGTGATGGAACGCGTAACTTTCCACTATGCAAACGTACGCCCATAGTATAATGGTCAGCAGTATCCTGATGTAATGTAAATCAAACATGGCGGCAGTTGAAACTGCACAGCTACAACAATTCTTCGAAGACATTTCTCTTAAGATTACCCCGGCAGAAACGGAAAATGTTGTGCATTCTTTTAAACGGATATATGGGGGGAAGTTTAAGTCGTTGGAAAGCCACGATCTGTTGAAATGTTTGCAACTTCTTGCTAAGCAAAGGTATGTAACCGAAAACAACCTGAAACTCGTAGAAGACTTCGTTGCTCCGAAATGTAGCCAACAGAAGGACATTGAGGAGGCACTGAAAAGTTTAAAGGCCTCTCGTCTGATGAAAGCTGATCCAAAAAAGGAATTAAAAGGACGGAGCGATGAAATCACGAAAATCAATAGAAAACTTGAATCAAAAGATATTGCACTTCTAAACTTGTTTGGGTCGTCCGGGATAGGAAAGACAGAGCTTGCAAAAGAAGTTTGTTCAAAATGGAAAGGGATTTCTCGAATTTTTGACCTGAGGAAGGCACAGGATATGACAGCGATCTATCACAACATGCTTCATTCTCTCGAACTAGCTGTTCCAGCCGGTCGTGTTGAGCAATTGCAAGAGTATGTTGTAGCAAAGGTTCAAGAGAAAGTGAAAGAGCTGAAAGATGGGGAACAGCCTGTTCTTTTTATGCTGGATAATGTGGACCAATTTACCGCAGGGAAAAAAGAAGAGGGGAAAAGGTTAAAAAAAGCATTCCTACGCTTTTTAGAAGAACTTTTAGAAAGTGAAGAAAAAAGACTTCCTTTAAAACTGCTTCTTACTTCAAGCACTAAGTTAGAGGAACTCAAAAAGATGGATGATTTTGAAGTTAAGTCTCTTGAGAGATCTTTTTCAGAGAAAATCCTCATCCCTGAGGGAATGACTGATGTAAAAACCCATCAGAAGGATCGTTTAATAAGCATTGCCAAAGGAATCCCTCTTATTTTGAAAGGACTGGCTGCTATCTTGAGACAGGAACGAAAATCTGTTGATGATCTCATTGCAAGCGTCACTGCCTCTTCACAGCAATCTGAAGCAGAGGGAGATGCAAGAAGTAGTGTACTCACTTTTGAGCAAGAAGGAGTAGACATGGGTCAGATGTCAGTGATTCAAGAAATGTTTGATACACTTCCCACTGAAAGTTTAAGGGTATCTGCAGTAGTAATTTCCTTGTTTCATGGACCTTTCTCTGTGAAAATGGCTGCCAAAGTTCTTGGTTTTGATGAGGTGGAAGCCATTGCTCAGTTAGAGGGACTCGTAGCCAGTGAAATAATTTTTGTTGTTGATGAAGAAGCAAAAGAGAGGAAGTATGACATTCATCCACTATTACAAAAGTATGCTGATAGTATCAAGAGTCTTGAAGACTTTAATACTTCTTTCCTTGAGGCAAAGGAACGCTTCTATGAACTCTTCATGTACAGGATGAAGAAAATTGCAGAACTCATTGAGCCAGATTATGTCAAAGCATTCCATTTGTTTGAGAGTAACAAAGCCAACTATGAGTACACTGTTGAGATCTCCTTGCAACCAGAATATTTCAGTGTTCCAGCTGAATTCCGTGAAAATGCCTTGATGGCATCCCTTTTCATCGCAATGCTGCATGAGAAACTGATCCCGGTCTTTGGTTCCTGGGCTGAGAAATGTGAAGATGATGGAAAATCAGGTACTTTTTCAATAATAAATTCTAATTTATTCAGTAATTTTCCCCACTGTCTGCCATACTATTTTTATGATGTTGATATGGTGAATTTGATTTTAGATCAACTAATAATTCCCCAATTGATATTTTCTTTATTCTCATCACCTGTCTGCTTGATATGGTATTAACATTGTAGGGAGAAATTCTGTCTTGGTCACTCAATTGGGAGTTGAAGGGTTAATGCTTGAAAATTTTAAATTTCAATTAAAATTACACAATGCATATTGATCTTTGTAAGGTAGAAAGTTCTCTTATTTTCCCAAATGTGATTGATGCATTAGCTGCTTTATTTTTCCAATGATTATTATCTAATCTAAGTGTAATTGACAGACAGTTGACTGTAATCTGACAGTTAACCCTTTAACTCTCAGATCAAATTTGTAATTCTCCTAAATGTCAACCATACAATTCTTATAATGTTAGTTCAGAGAAGTTAGTATTGGATCAACTTATTATCCCCAAATTGACATTTTTCTTTATTCTTATCACTTATCTGGTTGACATTGTGTTGATGTTGTAAGGAGAAATTCTGTCTTGGTCACTCATGGGAGTTAAAGGGTTAAAGCTACCAATCATATTAAGTCCACTCAGCTAAATTCATCAATCACAGAATTTATTAAAATAACTGATAGCAACAACCACTTCCCTACAAATCTGGGAAATTGTCTAAAGGAAGGAATTTTTTACTTTAGAAAATGTCTCTCTGGGATATATTTTTCTCACAGTCAATTTTGACTTATTTCCACAGTAATTTTATTTTTCGGAAATTACAATGGTTATGATAAATTGGTAACAGGACTTTGTCCAATTCTGTCTGTAATCATACTGGTAAAAATAATTAACAAATCAGACTCCCTCTGCATAGTTGTCAGATTTTGTTTATACCTTGTATGATTACAGACTTAATCAAAACTATAACAAAATTCTTGAACTTGACTGGTTATGACCAGCTCAATCTGAGTACTAATAAGTAGTGTACATGGCATGCTTTTAATTGGACAGTGTAATAGGACTGTTAAGGGGTCAG